CGGCCGGCGGGGCCGCGGGCCTCGGGGCAGCCTTTGTGTTCAAGCCGGCAAAAGCTGCTGACAAAGGAGAGAGCAGCCCGTCGGGCTGAGGAGGAGGTGCCGACCTGCTCCTGCCAAGAGCAGTATAAGGACAGGTGGTGGTAGAAATGGGTTTCAAGAAAAAAAAGCGGCGATTATCGCTTTCCATAGGTGGGGATCTGTTGTAGCCCTTCGTGAAACGGGCTGGGGGGGGCTGCTCTTCTCTTCTGAATCGGTGACTAGAAATATACGTCAGTAGCGTTGTGCACAAAGTCACTCAAAAGTTCTCTCCAAATTCCTTTCCTGTCGTCTAAGCAGAGGACGGGGCTGATATTTGCAAGTGCGGTCAGGCCAGGTACCTGTCCCTTAAATGCTCCCTAAAGTATTATTTTGAAATAATCTTGATGCTACTTCAAGGAAACTGGCTAGGTTTGTTACCCCCTAGTATAAAGTAGACAACTTGCATGGAAAGTAGGTGTAGTCAATTAGAAGAGGAAGAAGTTGGGCCCATTTAATCTTTATGGTATGTTTCTGTACCTGTTAACTTTCCCCTAACTCTGTAATGTCTGTACCCTGACTAGAGGATCCTGCTGTTGAAACAGCAGAGGAAGCTAAGGAACCAGCAGAGGCAGACATCAATGAACTCTGTAAAGACATGTTCAACAAAATGGCCACTTATTTAACAGGTGAACTGACAGGTAAGGCACTGCAATACTGACCTGGAAGTAAGTTTTTGTTTCTTTTAATTTCCTTTTAAAGAAATCTGTTGTGTAGTTTGTTTAAACTATAACTATTTAGATCATATCTAGCAAGACTGGCAGTTCAAGTCTGGCACTTGAGATTAGTCATATTAATGAAGTCCCAGAACAGCACAAATATTTTTTCAAAGAAATTCAGTATGATATCAGCAACTTACCCTTAAAAAAAAATTCTTTTTAGTCTTGCAGAAGCTTGTACGTGGAAAAACAAAGAAACAAAAGGTGTCTAGGTTAAGAAGGACTAGAAGAGAAGCACAATTAAGAGTGGAATATATGTGGCTGTTTTGTTTCTGAGTGAGAGTAAGGATCATACACGTGTTCCAACATTCATGCTTTAGAATAAACTGGTATGCAACATTAACTGGAGCAAAGTAAACTGCTCAACAAGTTAGTGGATTCCATTGGCTCTAATTTTGAAAGCATTCCACAGTACTACTGATTTGCATGGACTTGAAGGGTGTATGGTACAGATTACCAGTCTGGATTTGTGCTATTGGTTTTGTGAACATAAGTGTTCAACTGACAGAATAAGAGTAGAAATGTGAGGAATTAGTCAATTTTTCTCAAAAAAAAAAAAAAATTTGCAAGTGAATAAGTATTCATCTGTCCAGCTGATTTTTACAATACACAAAATGTCATCTCTCTTTTATAGCATTATACTAATACCTGTATTACCATCTAAACTATTCTTTGCTACATTTGGCTATTGGTTTGAAATCTCTTGCCCTCTTGAAGAGTCTGCACTGCAGACTGCATCAATGTTTAATTAAAATAAACTCTGTTCTTTTTAAGCCACCAGTGAAGACTACAAACTCTTGGAAAATATGAACAAGCTGACTAGCTTGAAGTACCTAGAAATGAAAGATATTGCTATAAACATCAGTAGAAATCTGAAGGATTTAAATCAAAAATGTAAGTAAACCAAATAAAGTAGGGGCATAATGAATGGTACACTTGTTTGGGAAATAGAGCATCTAAGAGTTAGGTAGTTCACACTCCATTAGGTGCTGAAGGAAAAAAACCTCACTGAAATAGACATGCTTCTATACAGTGTCAATCTTGTATATTTCTTTACAGCTATAGACTAGGTAGACTAGCATAAGAGAAAACACAGATGAATTTATGTCTTGTTTTACCCCAAATTTTGGATCTGAGAGGAAATAACACTTCTTTTGATTCATGTTTTAGTGTTACTTGTATTAAGTGTAGCCAGTACTCTTAAACATTCCATACTTTCCTGGGACATGGCTATCAGTATCACTTCTGGATTTTGGGGCAGGGGCAGGAAGGAACTTTTAAATTGTTCTATCTGAAGAATATAATGAGAAATTCTTGTGTTTCAAGTGTGAACTGTTTCTTGGAAATTAATTACTGAGAACTAACAAATATGATTTGTCTGCTTTTTTAAGATGCAGCTCTTCAGCCATATCTGGAACAAATTAACCTAATTGAAGAACAGGTTGCAGCTCTGGAGCAGGCAGCTTATAAATTGGATGCATATTCCAAAAAACTTGGTAATTATTGTCCTTTACTGTTACTACCTGGCAGCATAGTCCCTTGCAAGGGGATGTAAAAAGACAAGGTAGATTCCTCCTCTATTTAACAAATCTGAGCTGCAGAGTTGCCTATGCTGCTTTTGAGCAACAAAGATTGTATGTTAAGTGGTAAGCACTGGGAAAAGATTAATATAACAAGTTATATGGAGGTGGGTGGACTAGGACAGGTGTTATTGTACTACAGCTTATTAGTGAGGCTTGATTTCTCTTTTACAACATGCACTGACCCAAATTTTAAAGGCAGATGCTTAATCCTGCAAATAGAGGGATTCATAAAGGTCCACCAGGCACCCAAGTCCCTTTTGCCTAAATGAGTATTAGTTGTCTGACTTAAACACCTGGTTCTTAAAAATTTTATTGTACTATTGTATTTGCCTAAATGCTTTAGTAAAAAATGACCCTGAGTGGTAAATTAACCACTGTAAATTAACTTGTAGTTACAAGTTAATTCAATATCTTGAATTTTAAGATATATAGCAGCTTACAGGATTCAGAGCTTTTATCTATCCAGTCCTAAAATACTGTTATTTTTCCTTCTGCAGAAGCCAAGTACAAAAAACTGGAGAAACGGTGAAATTACAACAGTCTTTAAGTTGGAGTTGGGCTATGAGTCAGGCTGATTTCTGTTTAAGTTGCACAACAGCAATTCTGTATGTTGACAAGAATTTGGTTACAACTAACATCCAGACTGGTAACTTTTTCTATCTATTGAATACAGTAGGCTGTATTCAGGCTTAAGTCTCAATAATATTTTCCTCTTTTCAAGAGGTTCTGTCGCCTCAGTTGTTCTGCAGTGAAAATTAGAAGCCTGTCCCTAATGCATATGTTGGTATTGGCTATCTGTGTATGTCCTATGTCCATAAATACTCCACCTAGGAAAAGCCCTCCATAAACTACAAAGACATGTTCCCTTAGTAGCAGCAGGACCTAAACTTCATTTTTTCCTTCGTTTTGCTCTGCACTGAGAAGATACACGGGCTTTTGGAGTTATGAGCATGGTATTGAAAACACTTTGCTTTGGTATCCACCTTTTATCTGTTTGAAATAGAGAGACTAATTATTATAAATTTACAATAAAACAACTTGCTGCATTTGTCTCTCTGGAATCTCAAATTCCTGTTGGAAAGATTGTCAGTTGTCGTCTTATCTTTTCAAAGGGTCTGTTAATAAAGACAAACTCCTTGCAGCTACTGTAAATCATAGAATAGAACATGTTCTAAACTTTGCATCAAGTATTTCTGCAGTTATATTCTTCGACTGTCTGGACCTCAGGTGAAATTGCAAGAAGTATTGCTTTATCACATGCTCAGTTAATGTAGCAGATCCTTTCTCTACTTTTACCAGTGGATTTTGATCCTAGTAGTTTTTGAAGAGGCATATCCAGCACAAAAAGCTTCTTCTCTGCCAGATTAACAGTGTTGCTAATTTAGCAGAGCCCTTCTTACTGAACAGGTACTCCAACTTCAATTTTTTTTTTTTCTGTACCTATTGACCCTGACTAGTTCAAGCTGGCTTTTGAATGAGTTGCTGTCGAGGATAGTACAATTGCTGATGTAGGAAAGAAGTAGTTCAAACTTCCTACAGGTTGTTTATAAGAATGACTAGTTAGATGCCAATGTGGTAAACATCATAATGCTGTCAGTCAGTGTACATAGTCAAGATGGACACTTTTCCCTCTGCTATTTAAAAGCGGTGAAGCAGATGACCTTTGAGAGCCTTCACCATCACTTTAAAAATCCTGGCTTTAACAGGGTTAGGAACAGGGTTAAATCTCTCCGAGGTATCCAGCCATTTGCATCCGTATTGCTTTTATCCATAGTTAGGTCACTGATGACTTTTCTACTTGTGAAAGCAAGTTAGACTTCGTAGTATTGTTATCAAAGCAACATCCTCCAACACCACAGGAAGAGGTACCAACAGATAAGTTATCATTTCTGTGTTGGAGGAAATTACACCATGTAGAACAGCAGTCTGTTTTATAATCTGACAGATCATCATCTCCTCAGGATTCATGGTGTGTTCACAGTTCTGCTGGACAAGAGGATCTAGCCAGCCAGATCTGAAATCTTCGTGCCTAGAGACTGGCATTTGAATGACAGCCTGAACAGTGGCCTGCTTGATCTTGGACGCTGGGAATTGGTACCACAAGGTGATAAGACAATCTAAAAGTCCTGTTTCTCCAGTGTTTCATGCATGTGTGAATTATACAAGAGCTAGAGGTGATTCAGACAGACTCACTAGTGTTTTTGATAGTACAATTCTTCCTCTTTGCCATTGTGGAGGAGAATCACAGATGTTTGTCTGCTGATGTAAAAGCCTGAGGGTGCTGCTCAGAGCTCCTCTGTTCCTTGGAAGAATGAGGATTTTCATTACAGTGGGTAGTGCTTGCACGTGGCTGGGAGCTTAGTCCCTGATCCCCTGTAGGTCCTCTCCCTGGCCCCTACCCATCTCTAAGAACAGAAAAGTTCCTGATTCATATCATGTTGAAAAAGCTTCTGGATAGGTGGACATCATCTAGAGCTGACCAGCCACTGAAATGCTTACCAGGGCAGGTTCTAGGATTGAAACAAGACCACTGATCTTCCAGACTAGTGATATCTCATTCCCAGCTCTTTCTGGGAATATGGTGCTAGAGGCACAGAGCGGATGCTGGCACCCAAAGGGCTTGTTCTTCATTGCAGGGATGCAGCTGGCCCTGCACTCTGGCTTGGTGTAGAGGCCAAGATGAAGGGGTGACAGAGTTGTATCCTAAGGAATTTCATTGGAGAGTTGGCAATATGCTGTCTAGAGAATTGTGGTCATCTCCATGTGATAAAAATAATATCAAGCCCTAAGCGCCAGTGACCTGTCCTATTGCATGTCAGCAAGTCAAGTAAGTTCTGCTCGTGGCTGATAACCTGCAAATCAAGTATTGAACACAGGATGGAACGTGGCCTGGACACACTGATAATGTAGTTCCAAGACCACTCCCTTATGGACCATATACTCAGACCCCCAGTGGGCGACAGACTCCACAGATCCAAGCTGGGTATGGAACTGGATGTATGGCAGCCCTGCTCTGTCTTAAGATGAGTCCCAGTTACTGCCCCTCCCCCTCCCCTCTTCTTAATACATACTGTCCACATTGCAGCTGGGATGCCAAAACTCATAGTTCCATAGCAAGAAGGATTCACTGTCACTGGGATACTAACAGCAGCCTTGCTGTGTAAATTGTTGAAGTGGCCAAGGAGAACAGCATGACTCTCCTCTCTGTTTTGTATTTATATCCTCTAGCACTTCCAACTGCCTCAGACCCAGTAGGGCACGTTTTAGTCTTGAGACCATGGGGAGGCATAATAGTGAAGATGTTTCAGGGCTGCTAGTCTCTCTTAAAAGAAAAGAGGAGATGGTTATGTACCTGACCCTTCTTAAGCGTGATTTAATGTACCAAGCTCATCCTGTGGCAGCAAGACTTTCTTTCCATAATGTGTGCCTGGATCACGCTGTGTTGCCAAAGGCAGCTATGGACGTGACAGCAGCCTAGTAGGAAGTTTTCCTAACATGGGAGTTAGAGGTAAGTATTGTCAGTGTTCGGGCAGAAAGGGTTGCACTCAAGGGTAGGCTAGTGCTAGCTAAGCAAGAACACATTCTCAGGGGCATGAGGGCTAGAGTTTTTCTTCTGCTCAGCAGAGAACTGGGAATTTGTGATTAAGCAGCTTGTGACTGTGCAAAACACCACTCTGGAGTACACACATACTAGCTGTAAGCACTAGCCAGCATTTTCCAGGTCTCCAAAGACATGTCTGAGAGCAGAGGATGCTGTCTGTGTCACAACTAAAATTGGAATGGTGGCCTCTAAGACAGCATCTATGCAGCTGTTAACAGGTATAGCTCTTCACCCCTCAAGGCCAAGGGGATCAAGGGGACTGAGTGACAGTGGACAGGTAAATATGGTCACATGAAAGTAAAACCATTGTATCCCATTTCCTCTCTACATACCTCACCCAGAGAATGCTCAGTCTGCATGGAGCTTCCTGGCCTGCCCCATCTCACCTCTTCATAGTCAGAGGCCCGGTGTCTGGTTTGTATTTTATAGCAAGGCAAAGAGCAGGCTCAAGAATAGGTTTATACTCCAGTGACACTCCTACTTGGATCTGGTTTTGTAGAACTGCTTGTCTTAGCCATGTCTTGTTTTAATCACATGTGCATTTGATGGTTGCTTTGATGAAGAGATCCACTCACCACATGCAACACAGCGTTCTGTTGGAAGGTCTAGGAATCTGTGATGTGGGCGTAGAAAATTTCAGAGAAAAATAATACGGCATTTCCTTGCTCATTGTCTTTCCGTGACGGGATTGCGGGAGGGCCGCATGGGGGCGATGTGTCCGCAGAGAAGGCTGCTACAAGATAAGCAAGTAAAGGCAAAGTAAGGACCAAATCTTGTTCCTGTTGAAAAAGTTGCTTTTCTACCTGTAGAAAATGCTATGCTGTTTTAAAAAAAATACAAAAATTAAAACCTCCAGGAACTTTGAAGATGGAAATCCATCTAGCCATGGATCCAATAGCATGATAATCATAAGTGTGTATAATGGCCTGAAGATAAATATATTGTTGTATTTGCAGCATCCCATCAGAGGACAAACATAAGCAACAGTAATACTCTGAAGACAAGCATGCTGTGAAAGTATGACAGGGTTTGTTAATGCAAGGTTTGTTAATGATTAATGTTTGTCCCTGCTTTCTGATATTATGGTAGAACAAGGTTGACCTTAAAAAACGTCACAAAGACTTAAAAATCAAAGCAGTTCATCCAAGTTTGCTGGCAGCGAGTGCTTTTTAACCCAGAGGAATATATTTAACCCAGAGGAAAATGAGAGCAGTTATTGGTTACTTTTGCGCTTGTTGCTTTTACTGTAGGCTTCATAAAGTGAGCCTTCCAGGATGCAGCTTCAGTCCTTCTTGATCCCACATCCCTGTTCGACTTTGCAATGGAACCCCTGGGAGCCACAATCATTTTCTTGCTGGTTTGCATTGCTGCCTCCTTGTCTGTTCAGTGTGGAGAAATATGTCTGAAACGGGGAAGCTGCCTCCTGGGCCATTTCCTTTGCCCCTCATAGGAAACGTGCTGCAGCTGAAGAATAACTTGCCTGAGGCAAGTGGATGTAACTTAAAAGCTGTGTTCTTTTTTGGTAACTTGTTTCATCTCAGTAAGAAGTATGGTTCACAATATGTTTGGGCTCAGTACGTGCAGTGGTGTTGTATGGACCTTATGTTGTGAAATAAGCTCTGATTGATTGACAAATGTGTAGAGTTCAGTGGAAAAGGATTTATGCCACTCTCCCAAAAGTTCTCCAGAGAAACAGGTACTTCTCTGCAAGATTCTCCCTAGGTAGAGGTTTTCTTTGGGGAGGATATGACTAAGACAGAAGTGGAAAGAGCTGATGTTTCATTTAGTATAGGAGCAAAGCCTGGCAGAATCTGGAGAGACCTTTGGCTCGCTGGTGTTAAATGATCCTAGTGTCTTGCAGTTGTAGGTGGTAGCTGTTGAACCTTTTAAAGTCTGGGTTATGACCTGGAGAGCAGGTGGCTGTGGTGGTATCCTCACACAGGTTTCTGCATTAGTAACTGGGTATGTCATCCCAGTGGGACAAGATAGCCAGGACTACTTTTCACTGGGGGCCATTGCCCTCCCTCTCTCCCTCAATTACCAAAGAGTTGGACTAGAAACAAAGGAAGTTCAGGCAAGCTGCCATAAAGAAACCAGGCATCATTCTAACATGATAACAAGTTAAAGAATTTTACTTAAAAGGACTGCATAGGGAGTAGTTAAAGAGAGCAATGCAATACAGACACAGTATTGGAAATCCATGCAATAAAATAGTATGAACTAAACACACTGCTAAAGCAAGTTAACCCAGAGGAATTGTGATCAGTTACTGGTTATCATTGCACTACCTTTTGTACCACAGGCAACACAAAGTCAGACTTCCAGGACACAGCTTTAACCTTCCTCTACTCTCAAAGCTCATTGAGTGTCATGGTGGATTCTCTGGGAGCTAAAGCTGTTTTCGTGTTGATTTGCATTGGGTGCCTCCTTGTATTTTCAGCATGGAGGAAGATGTCTGGAACAGGGAGGCTATCCCTGGACCATTTGCGTTGCCTGTTTTAGTCATGTAATAACTGAAGAGGAAGTATGGAGTGCTTTCTTCTTTTTATCTGATGAGAAGACTTGTAATA